AGAGAGAGAGAGAGAGAGAGAGAGGTACGTGTACATGTTACTGTTGGTGTGCATACATAGGCACATACATAGGCATGGAGATCAGAGGAGGACATTGAGTGCCCTGCTTTGTCACCCCATTTTATTCCCTTGATACTGGCCAGCTGGGGTTCTAGGCATGCATATGGCCTCAGCCAAAGGGACATTTTGTTTGCTTTTGGTTTATTTTTGTAGAGATGGAACCCAGGATTTTGCATGTTCTTGCAAATTCTTCATAGCCAGCTTGTACTCCAGAGCTCCTAAAGTGGGGAACTGTGGTGCAGCTGGTTTGTTAGTTTGCATGGGTATGTCAGAAAGGTGACTCCTGTTCAGAGGATAGGTCTGAGGGGCTGGCTCTGATGATTAGAGAACGCTGACTCTTTCACCTGTGCTTTCAGATCCCTCGGCACAGGTAGCCGTGATCCCAGCCCTTGTTGCTACCCCCACAGGCCTTATGGTTGCCTGCTTGGTGCTAGGGCAGATGGGTAAACAAGCACTCTGGGGTCTTATCATACAGACCCAGCCCAAAGGTCACCTTTATCTTCTGTCCCAGGACGGGCGGGGCCCCAAGCACCAAGAGTCCCTTCCTGGAACCCTCCTGGAGCTGAACTAGAAGTACTTTGCCTTAGGTCCTTGTGTCTGAGGCAGTGGACAGCCAACACACTTGCCCTAAGTCAGCCCTGCTCTCAGAGCTTGGCTCTTCCCTGAGCTAGACAGAACAACAGGGGAGCTAGTGCCCCTGTGAGTACTGTAGACCCCCTTGCTCCCTACTGTCAGGTAGGGCTCAATTTTCTTTCTCCATTGAAATGACAGTCTCATAAACTAACAAGAACCATTTTAAAGTACAATTCAGTGGCATTGAGCTTATTTGGTGTTATATAACTGTGACCTTTAGTTATCTCCAAAACCCTGTCATCACCTCAAAGGAAACCCCACACCAGAAAGCTCTTGCTCCCCCACTGCCTTCTTGGAGCCCCTGGCAACTGAAAGTCTGTCCCAGCTAACTCACTTTACCCTTCCAGCTGTTCCATCAGTACAGTATTTATTGCACAGCATTTGTAGCTGCCACCTTCTGACAGTAGTAGCGTTTCTTGTAGTGTTCAGGCTGTAGCTGGTCTTGACTGATTCTGCTTATCAGTTTGAGTTGGGTCTAAGTTTTGACTATTGAGAATAAAAAGTCCTCTGGCTGGCTGTCTTCCTTTCTCTCTATGTGTGTGTTTCCTCCTAACCTCTGATCTTCTGCCTCTAGCTCCTGAAGGCCTTTTACAGCAGTACTGCACTCCTACTGCTTTCTGTAGCTCAGGCTGTGCTGGTGTTAGAGTCTAGGGCTCCTGCATTCTAGGTCAGGCCCCAGTGTGCTCTTTCCTTTCTTTGAGATTGTGCTCAGCTAAGATTCAGCAAGCCTCTCCGCCCTAGCCTCCTGGCTGACTGGGCAGCTCTTGCAGCCCCCATAGCTGACTATTTGCAAACCAGCACTTGTTAGAAGCCTGCCTGCTGTGCTTTGCAGGGGCATACCTGAGAAGAGAGCTGCTGTGTCAGGGGGTCAGTGTGCTCACCTGTCCACAGCCCTCCAGAGGTGTCTGCCACACCTCTCTACTCACTCGCTTCCCGTCACTGTTTAATTGTAGACATTTTGTAGACGTTATGAAAAGTGGCATCTCACAGACAGTTGAATTGTTTATTGCTGTGATAGATTCCGTGGCCTTGTACTTTTAATGTAAAAATGCCCAGCCCCCCCCTTTTTTTTAAAGACCAGGGTCTCAGTGTGTAGCGGAGGGTGGCCTGGAATTCAAGACTCCTAATTTCAGGGTTAGAGTTGTGAGGGACAAGCACGCTCCTGGGTCGCTTTGTTACGTTACTTAGGCTGGTCCCAAGTTCCTAGGTCCAAGTCAGGGATTTGGGAACTTGTAATGTTTAAATAAAATACAATTTATGGGCTGGAGGATGGCTCAGACTGCTTTTTACAGGCCTTGGGTTCAATTCCCAGCACCCACATGACAGCTGACAACTGTCTATAACTCCAGTTCCAGGGGACCTGACACCCATGGCAAAACACCAGTGCATACAAGATAAAATAAAAATTATATACTTTTCGCCGGGCGTTGGTGGCGCACGCCTTTAATCCCAGCACTCAGGAGGCAGAGGCAGGTGGATCTCTGTGAGTTCGAGACCCGCCTGGACTACCAAGCGAGTTCCAGGACAGCCTCCAAAGCCACAGAGAAACCCTGTCTCGAAAAACCCAAAAAAAAAAAAAATTTATATACTTTTCATATTCTTAGTTTCATAGCTAGGAATCAGTTGCCAAATCAAAGTCACAGATTTACCCCTGTGTTTCCTTCAAAGAGGATTTTGTTTGTTTTTGTTTTAGGTGTGAATGCTCTGTCAGCATCAGATCCCACTATAGATGGTTGTGGCCACCATGTGGTTGCTGAGAATTGAACTTAGGACCTTTGAAAGAGCAGCCACTAGAGTGATCCCTCCAGCCCCATGCTGTAGGTTTTTAATTAGATTTTTGATGTTTATGTGTGTGCACACATGTTCATGTCAGAGAAAGACTTTTGGAGGTCAGTTCTCTCCTTCCACCATAGGGTCCCAGGGATTGCACTCAGGGTCAGGCTTGGCAGCAAATGCTGTTACCCACTGAGTCCTGAGACTCACCAACCCAAGAGTCTTCTAGCCTGATTCATTTGTGTTAGCTTTTGTTGCAGTGTAAGGTCAATATCTGGTGGCACGGTTTTCCAAGTGAATGTGCAGATGTGCCAGTGTTCCTTGTTGGTGATGCTTGTCTCTTCATTGGTACCCTTGTGGGAAGTCACCTGACCATTAATGGCAGGATTTATTTCTGTGTTCTGTTTCTATTCTTGTGCTTTTCAAAGACATATATATATATATATATATATATATATATATATATATAGAGAGAGAGAGAGAGAGAGAGAGAGAGAGAGTTTGTTTTTGTTCGTTTTGTTTTTCAAGACAGGGTTTCTCTGTATTGTTTTGGAGGCTGTGCTGGAACTTGCTCTTGTAGACCAGGCTGGTCTCAAACTCACAGAGATCCACCTGCCTCTGCCTCTGCCTCCCAAGTGCTGGGATTAAAGGTGTGCACCACCAACGCCCGGCTTCAAAGACTGTATTTTGATTACTGAAGCTTTATAGAACTCTTGAATTGGAGATTCTTCCGACTTACTCTTTTTCACCCTATTTGGCTACTCAGGGTGCTTGGAACATCTTCAGCCACATTTCCATCAGCCTTTTTTTCATTTTGCTGATTATTTGGTGAGCCATATGAGGGCAGCAACATTGGTGCAGTGAGCTCATTCACTGTTGCATTTGTGTTCTAGGAATAAGGGTGTTCTGGGGCTGGGGCTGTAGTGTGGTTGGTACACTACTCACCTAACATGCACAGAGCCCTGGGTTCTCTCCCATAACCAGGCACGCAGTGCATACCAGTAACCCCAGCACTTGGTACAATGAAAGTGGGAGTTGAAGGTCATACTAAGCTGCATAGAGTTTTAGGTTAGCCTGACTACTTGAGACCCTGTCTCGTGAGGGTGGGGCAGTGTTCTTAGCCCATAGGGCCAGTGTCTCATTTCACACTGTCCATCTGGTGTAATGGATCCATGTATAGCTGCCTCTCCTGTATCTCCTTCACTCTAGAAGAGTTCTCAGTGGTTTCTCTCACCTGATGTTGACCATTTGAAGAGACCCTGCAGAGTTATCTTGCAGACTGGTCCACTCCCTGTATCTGCTGGTGTCTACTGTCCCTTTATGAGTTAATGTCAAAAGTAATTCATGGGGGCATTAAAAATGGCTCAGTAGAGAGAACGTTATATTGCACAAGCCTGGCAACTTGAGTTTGATTTCCAGAATCTATGGTAGAAGAAAGAACCAACTTCTTTCTGTTTTTGTTTTTGTTTTTTCGAGACAGGGTTTCTTTGTTGTTTTGGAGCCTGTCCTGGAACTCGCTCAGTAGACCAGGCTGGTCTCGAACTTACAGAGATCCACCTGCCTCTGGCTCCCGAGTGCTGGGATTAAAGGCGTGCGCCACTAACGCCTGGCCCAACTTCTTTCTGAAGGCTGTCCTCTGACTTCATGCTTGCCTGCATGCACAGGTGTATGTATGTATAAGCATACACACACAGAGAGAGACATACACACAACACAATAATAAAATTTTAAAACAGGAATAGTACTATACAGGTGCCATGGGACAACAGCACTGCAGCATCAGTCTGTCTTTTTCTTAGGGACACTGGCTTCATCCTTCAGTGTACTGGCTTACGTTGAACAAATGACTAGAAAGCATTGCAGTGATGGACACGCAATGCTTCCTGGCTGCTGGGCCATGTGAATGAACATACACAGTAGCTCCCTGGGTCCCTGCCCCACCACCAGCCCCATATGACACCAGCCTGGACAGGCGACATGGCTTGCTATATCCTACTAAGGAGCTGTGGGTGGCACAGAAATCTAGGTTGCATGGCTTCCATTGCCAAGGACGCAGTTATTGTCCCTGAGAGCAAAGGGCCAGCCTAAAGGGGTCATGGGTACTTCCATTCTGACAGCTATAAAATCCAGTGACCTTGTAACTCAGAAGGACCCCAACAAATGCCCCTTTGGCAGGCTCAAGACTCCAGAGCCCCAACCCCTCTTTACCCTTTAGTTGTCTGTGTCTCCCTAAGGATGCCTCTGTTCTTCCTTAAGGATGACTCTGCTTGTTCTCCCCTCCTGTTGGTTCATATGGGGATAGGAGGTTTCTGGGGACCCATGCCTTCCCCTGAGAACATGTTTATCGTCCCCTGGGAGACACTGAGCTTCTGAGGACCCTGGCAGTGTCCCTGCAGTACAGTCATCCCTTACCTTTTCTTCAGTAGGTAGGCAGAGCACCCCACAGCACCCCAAAAGGATGTGGGAGCAGGGACACAGTAACCAAGCCAATCACCAAGGCACCTTTGCTTATGCCAGCGCCCCCTCTCTTGCAGATGAAGATGTGTGTGTGTTCAAGTGCTCAGTGTCTCGGGAGACAGAGTGCAGCCGCGTGGGCAGGCAGTCCTTCATCATCACCCTGGGCTGCAACAGTGTCCTCATCCAGTTCGCCACACCCCACGGTATGTGTTTGGCTCCTTGGTGGAGCCTGCCCCGGAGGGGGGGGAGATGGTCAGTTAATAGAAGTATTTGCCACACGAGCATGAGGACCTGGGCTCAGTGGCAGCATGAGCTTGTAACCTCAGCTGACAGGAGAGGGATGGAGACAGGCATATCCCTGCAGCTCACACTGGCCAGCCTTGCCTCAGCAGAGCTCCAGGCTAAAGGGAGATTGCCTCAGAAAACAAGGCAGACAATTCCTAAGGAATGACACCCAAAGCTGACCACTTGCCTCCATAACTGCATGCACAGGCACCACCACATACATAATGTGCACTTGCATATGCCGAATGCCTTGGCGTACACTTGGAGCGCTTGTAGAGACCCCTGCTTAAAGACGTGAGCATAAGTGACAGAGTTAGCTGGCTGTGGGTAGGGTGGCACATGTCCATCGTCTCAGCTTCCCAGAAGGCTAGAGCCTGAGGATCACTTCAGCACAAGAGTTCGAAACCAGCCTGAGCAGCCAGCATGGCAAGATCCTTGCTCTGAAAAAGAGGAAGAAAAGAAGCAGCCCCAAGAAGAGGCAAATCCTTAGTGAGAATGTCTTCTTGGTGTCCTGGCACCTCACCGGCTGCTGTGGATACTCTGGGTCTCAGTTCTTTGTCCTTTCTTCCAAAAGGGCCATCCTGACTCTCTTGCCATGCCTAAGCCTCTCAGACAGCTAGTCGGGTTAGGCCTGAGGCCAGCATTCTCAGCTGCGGCTAAGACCTCAGGGGAGGAGTGAGATGGGGCCTAGAGGTGGGCAGAGGCTTCCCTCTCACTAGAGAAGCTCCTGGAGGCTCTGAGCAGACCTGTCATTAGACATGATAAGGACACCTAAGGTTGTTGAGGAGGGCTTGTAGCAACCCAGGTGACAAAGCTTGGGACCTTGGGGTTTGGGAAGCAATGACCAGGCCTGTCTGTGAATGTCCTGTGATGGGACTTGGTCAGTGGAGTGCCTGGGAGAGCGTGGTGGCTGGTGCAGGGGAGGGCGCTACTGGCTTCCAAAACCCTTCTCTGTCTCCCCAGGAGGTTACCTATGCCTTGTCACCTCACAAGCACCCTCAGACCCTCGCTTCCCTTCTGGGATCCTAACACTAGGAAGTGGAGGCATAAGTATCAGGAGTGCAGGTCTGAGAAGGAACCTGGGTTATATGATACATTGCCCCCCAAAATTGAAAAGAATTGTTTTAAATTTGAGGGACTAAGATGTATCTCAGTGGGTGAGCCCTTGTCTGACATGAAGTCCTAGCCCCATCTGCAGTCCCAGCACTCAGGAGGTGGAGGCAGGAGTACCATGAGTTAAAGGCCAGCCTGGGCTACATATCTGTTCCCCCCCACCCCACAAAAAATCCTTTTGTTAACACAGAATTCTTTTACATGTGTGGCCTCAACTAAATAAACACTCATAGTTCAACATGCACATGCAGTGTAGCTCATTCAGTCAATTGAGGAACAAATTGGAATGTGTTCCTAATGGAGGAAAGTCTGTTGGAGCCCAGACTTCTTGTTGCTTTGTTAACTTTTTGTGCGTGTGTGTGAGTGTAGTTGTGCTTGTGCTAGCACACATGGAGGTGAAGAGAGCGTATGTTGGTCATCACATTTACCTTGTTTAAGATGCAATCTCTAACTGTTCACCGCTAAGCACCCCAGGTTAGCTGAGCCACAAGTTTCTGGGGAGTTTTTTTTATCTCTACATTTAGAATGAGAGGCATAATACTTCTATATCAGCTTTTATGTGGGTTCTGGGGATCTGAACTCAAGTCTTCATCCTTACATGGCAAACACTTTACCACTGAACAATCTTCCCAGTCCCCAAAGTCATTGTTAAAAAAGAAGTGTTAGGGACTGAAGGGTTAGCTACTGACTGCACAGCCTGATGACCTGAATTCAATCCCTGGAAACCACACAAAGATGGAAGAAGAGAGCCAACTCCACAAAGTTCCTTTGACGTCTACATTCATGCCATGGCATGTACTTTCATATGCATAACATACACAATAATAAGAAGCAAAAATTTTTGTTTTTGGCATTTTGTTGGGTTTTGGAAACAGGGTTTCTCTGTGTAATCCTTGTTGTCCTGGAACTTGCTGTGTAGACCAGGCTGGCCTTGAACTCACAGAGATCTGCCTCCTGAGTGCTGGGATTAAAGGGGTATACTACCACCCAGCTAAAGATATGTTGGAAATACTACTACCAGAGATTAGCATCCACGTTAGATTGTAAGTCTGGAGACCGGCTGGAGAGATGGCTCAGCAGGTAAGAGCACTGGCTCTGTTCCCCAAACAGCAGCTCAGAACTGTCTGCAACTCTACCTTGAGGAGACCTGAATCCCCTACTGGCTTCTGTGTGCACCAGGCATGCAAGTGGTGCAAATACATATATGCAGGCAAAACACCCATACACGTAAAATAACATGCTAGAGAGGGATGCTTGGAGAGATGGTTCAGTGCTTAAGAGCTCTTCCTGAGGACCCAAGTTCAATTCCCGTTGCCTGCATATCAGCTCACACCTGTCTGTTATTCCGGTCTCAGCTTATCCAGAGCCCTCTCAGGAACTCCTCAGGTTGCAGACATACATGCAGGCAAAACATCCATAGATATAAAATAAATAAATAACAAATCCTGGAGATGATGTGACCTGGGGAGTGGTTCAGTCTTAGGGAGTTGTAGGATTTTTATTCATTATGAAGACTTAGCCTTAGCTTAGGCTTGTCCCATTAGCTCTTATAACTCAACTCATTTATTTTAATCAAAACTCTGTCATGTTTTGATTAAACATTGAGCCAGCTCTCCATTTCTATTTTTTTAAAGTCTAACTTGGTGGCCATTTTTATAAGCTCTTCAATAACTTTTTTCTAATGAGTTTTGTTCTTTGAGAATTTCACATTCATACAATGCATTTTTACATATTACCCCCTAATTCTTCCCTGATCTATCCCTCATCCCACTGCCTCCTCCCTTTATTTTTTCAATGTGTATAATCCACCCAGTTCAGTTGTGCTGTAGGGCCATCCACTAGAGCAGGGATCCTGCCTACCAGGATCATACAACACATCTTAGAGAAAACTAACTTTCCGTCCCCCAGGAGCTATCATTTGTTTATAGTTCCTCAACTAAGGGTGGGGCTCCTGATCCCCTCTCTGCTCCCCTCCTTCTGAGTAACTTCAATACGAGTCAGTTTAAAGAACTCCATAGCACTGTGTCCTGGGGAAGGGTGCTGACACCCTCTCCATGTGCTTTTCTGGGTCTTCAACATGGAGGTGGTGTCCTCACGTCCAGTGCCATCCCCAGAGGCTACTGTGAGCTCCCCACACTTAGCCTGAAGTTTGGGAAAAATGCCCAGGCCTGTCCTTACCACATGCCACCTGCAGTCATGCCCTCACGTCAGTCAGAGTGGCAGCCTTGGCTGCTCTCTTCTTTCTTCTCAATTGGAACATTGCAGGGGGGGGGGGGGGGCACAAGTTCCTGTGTCAGGAAAGGCAGACAGGAGGAGCAAATGCCCAGGCCCTCTGGACTCTCCCAGATGGCCTCAGCACTGGCCTCCCAATGATGTGGCTCCCCCTTTCCAGATTTCTGTTCTTTCTACAACATCCTGAAAACCTGCCGAGGCCACACCCTGGAACGCTCTGTGTTCAGTGAGCGAACAGAAGAATCCTCAGCTGTGCAGTACTTCCAGGTGAGTTAGCACCTGTCCTGGACCAGACAACCCCCCTGGTGTTTCCCTCCCTACCTTCCCACATGGGTGCTCATCCTGGCTCTGTCCCTTACTAGCTGTGTAGCCTCAGCAAGTGTTCACCACTTGCTAGGCCTCAGTTTCCTCATCTGTGAAGCCAAAGCCCCCAGGTTTTTAATGACTGAACATAGCAATGTCTAAACCTTTGATGAGTGTAAGGCACTGTGTGAGCGATCTTACATGTCCGAAAGCACTTGGACTTTCCCAACAACTGTCATTGTCCCCATTTTACAGATGAGAAAACTGAGGCTCAGAGAGGTTAAGTGACTTTGCTCCAAGTCACACAGCTCTTATGCAACAGAGCCACGATGGGAAAACCAGGTCTGCCTGATGCCCAAGTCTGTGGCCCTGCCAGGTGCCACGCTGCCTCCTTCCTGATCGCCTGTTGTCTTACAGAGAGACACCGCACATCACCTGCTTGGCGCTCTGAGCTTTAGGGTTTTGTTCCATCCATTCCTTTTCTTCTTTGGGGCCCTAAGACAGTTGACCCCCAGATCTTAGAACCCCATCCATGATAAATTTTATAATCTCTTGGGTGGCCTCCAAGTCCAGGTGGCATCTAGTTATGTCCTTCAGCCATGCCAACAAAAGTGCCCCTCTTGGGGACTGCTCCTCAGACCTCTGCTCCCACTTCTGGAGCAGCTGGCTCTTTCGGTTGGGTTCAGGCTGGAGGAGGGTTCATGACCTCCTAAAGGATGTTCATGCTGTCAGGCCCTCCCCCCACCTCAGGGCAGCCAGGGCTGAGGCAGTCTGTTGTGTCATGTGCTGTGTGCCAATGGTGTGTCTCTGTTCCAGTTTTATGGCTACTTGTCACAGCAGCAGAACATGATGCAAGACTATGTGCGGACAGGCACCTACCAGCGTGCGATCCTGCAGAACCACACCGACTTCAAGGACAAGGTGAGCCACAGTGCAGGAAGCTGAACAGAGGCCGCGGGGCTCCCTTACTTCCCTGCAGCTCTCGACTCCTTTCTGCTTGTTATTCTGAGTCAGTCCTCCCTTTTCTCAGTTTCCTGTAGAGAACACGTCTGCCTATTGTAACGTGTCTTTGGCCATACTGTTTTCTGCCTCAGCTGCATGTGGGTTGGGATAAGTTTTACATGGAACCTAACTCTAATGCCAGTACTCAGGAGATGTTGCCAAGAGGGTTGTCAAATGTAGAATCGGGGAGTGCTTACATAGCACGAAGAAGACTGACTTCATTCTAGCATTGCAGAAAAATAAAGCAACTTTAGATTTGGAAGTTGATGTTTGGATGTGTGTGTTAGGAAACAGTGAGTGAGCTGGGTGTGGCAGCATGTACTTTTGATCTAGGCAGAGGCAGGCATATCTATCTCCAAATTGGAAATGATCCAGAGCTATACAGTGAGTTCCTTTCTCAAGAAAAGGGAGGGGGGGGGCCGGGCGTTGGTGGCGCACGCCTTTAATCCCAGCACTTGGGAGGCAGAGGCAGGCGGATCACTGTGAGTTCGAGACCAGCCTGGTCTACCGAGCGAGTTCCAGGACAGCCTCCAAAGCCACAGGGAAACCCTGTCTCGAAAAACCAAAAAAAAAAAAAAAAAAAAGAAAGAAAAGGGAGGGGGGAAAGCTGAGAATAATGAAGTCACACCCCTCCTAGTCACACACAGATGGCTTCTTCTGTGGGGAGCAGTTGAGCTCTGCAGTAGTAGTGGACCCCAGCTGAGCCTTCTCTCATCCATCTCTGATTTCATCTACCTGGAACAAGGGAGGAGCTCCCCCCCTGCTTTAAATGGCAAGGGCAGGGCCAGCCCCAGCTGCCTTTCTCAGGTCTTCTGACAGATGGCTCTGAGTTGGGGTGCTCACAACAGCTGTTTACTCACGCAGTGCACAGAGCCCAGGGACGCATGCTTGCCAGCTCATCACAGTGGATTCCAAAGGGTAGCACGAAGAATCTGGGAATAACACTAGAGGGAGTGGCCTCACTGCTTTCTGGAGCTCCCTACTGTGCCCATGGAACTGAATTCAGAACCCCGGCCTTTTCTGACACTAATGCTGATGGTGTGCTAATTGGCTTAGTGAGAAAATCCAGCAGGACCTATCCACATGTTCTTGGCCTTTTTAACTAACACCCCTCCTCCAAGAAACAGGCTAGGTAGTGTAGGACCCTTTTGAAGTGTCTTTGTGTGTGGAGCAGGTGTTGTCCAAGTTACATTTAGGCTCAGTCGTCCTACCTCAGTCTCCTGGGGGCCTGCCTCATTGTGCCTGGGAACCCCCCAACACCATCGCCCCACTCGACATACTTTTAGTGCTGTTCAGTCCCAGTGGGTGGTGCATTCTTAGTCTCAGCACTTGAGATGCTGAAGCAGCAGGAAACCAGAGGGACAAGACCATCCTGGGCTATGTGAGTCTCAAACAAACAGGGGTGGGGAGGGAGGCTGCTGTTCCCAGTGCATGTGCTCTCTGGTCTTTTTGGTACTGTGTAAAGTAGTCAACACTTTTCAGTGAACTAGGCCTTCTGTTGGATGATTTTTGCCCAGCTGTGGGGGAGATAAGCGTTCTGAGCATGTGTCTGGCCAGCCAGGCAAGGCTGAGAAGTTTGGTAGGTCAGGCATATCGAATTGCCTCCTAAGGGTATGATGCCATTGTGAAAGGAGCCATATCTCCATGGTCCCTTTTTCCCTCCCTCACACCCTACTCTCCCTTCAAGGCTTCAGAGCCCTAGATGACAAGCTTTCCATGTCCTACAGAGAGGTTCCTGGCCTATGTCCCTCATGCGCCAGCCACTCAGGCTGGAACTGAGCAACAAGCCAGGGCTCTTCTTCCCAGAATCCTGGCTGTCTTCATGTGGACCCCAACCCCTTAGGGGCAGCTCCTGAGAATGACTCTCAAGCCTCAAGCTAGCTTTCTCAGCTTCTCAGCAAGTGGCTGGGCAAGGACAGTGATTCTCTGGCACCAGGACATTTCTTCCAACACCTCTCTAGTTTTTGCCTTTGTTTTTCCCAGATCAGCCTCCTTTTTAATCTTCAGATAGGATCTCACCATGTAGTCTAGACTGGTCTTGAGTTCATGGTCCTCCTGCTCCAGCCTTCTCTTTAGTGGGATTATAGGCATTGCCATTATACAGGATTGTTTTTATTTTGTTTTGTTTTTTTTTTTTTTTTTTTTTTTGGTTTTTTCGAGACAGGGTTTCTCTGTAGCTTTGGAGGCTGTCCTGGAACTCACTTTGTAGACCAGGCTGGCCTCGAACTCACAGAGATCCGCCTGCCTCTGCCTCCCGAGTGCTGGGATTAAAGGCGTGCGCCACCAACGCCCGGCTATTTTGTTTTATTTTATTATATGCATTTGTCTGTGTGAATGTGTACCACGTGCCTATGGAGACTGGAAGAGAGCATCGGATCTCCTGGAACTGGAGTTATAGGTGGATGTGAATTGCAGTGTGGGTGCCAAGAATTGTACCTGGATCCTCTGGAAGAGTAACTATCTCTCCAGCCCACTGAAAACAGTTCTTTTGTTGACACATAGTAGTTCTGCTGTTATTTATATTCTTTGTGATGTACATAGTGTGTGAAGTTGGTACATCTGTAGCTTCATGTACACATCGTTTCCTCAGATTGTTCTCGACGTGGGCTGTGGCTCTGGGATCCTGTCATTTTTTGCTGCTCAAGCAGGAGCCAGGAAGATTTATGCAGTGGAGGCCAGCACCATGGCTCAGCATGCCGAGGTCAGTGTCCTGTTGGGGCCCAAGCCCTTCTCTTGTCATGTGTTTCATCTGTGTGCCCACTGAGAGCCCCCAAGGTGCTTGGGACATCACTGCTCTTCTTTGCCTCTAGTAGTATAAGCAGGAGAGGGGAGGCACTCTGGGCCTGTGATGGCAAAGCCACAGTGACTAACCAGGCATCCACAATGGTGCACTCTCATGTCTTAGGGGCAAAGTGGCAAAGACACGCCCCCACGATGGGAATTCTAAGTCATTTACCTTAAGTGTCCTGAGTACTAGCTTGCCTGCATTCTGTGCAGGTGACAACATGATTTCGTTTTGCCACATCCTTGGTGCCCCCCCCCAACTTTTTTTAATTGAAAACTTAATTTTCAAGCCCAGAATTGAAAGTATGCAGAAGAGTAGATACTGTGATTTCCTCTCATATCCTTGGCTTCTTACTACTACAGGCCCTTGCCAGAGAAAGAACGTCCCCTAGGTGTTGAGTGAAGCCTTTTCCTTGCTAGCCACTTTGGTTTTTCCCCACCAGTCACCTGGGCTCTGCCACGTTGTAGTCCCCAAATGACACACAAGACACTGTATTAATTATGAAGCTGTTGGCCTTGTTTGTTTCTTACTGGCTATCTCTGACTTAAGTATTTACTCCATAATTGTTAACCTAAGTATTTCTCTTACCGGAGAAAGGGTCCGGACTTCTTATCCCTATAGCGGCTACATCGTGACTCCCTGTGTTTCTCCTTCCCAGAGTCCTCCTGGACTCCTAGTCCCACCTATCTTGCTTCCCTATTGGCCAACAGAGCTTTATTGACATATACACAGGACTTACCCATCACCTAGGCCATTCCAGACTGTTCTGTGGATACATTTTGTGAGCTTGGCTCCCTCTCCCACAGCCAATGTCTCATACAAACAGGGGCACTGCCAGCTTGCACCTGGATGGTCCCTAGCTGCAGATCTGGGACTATGAGCCTTAATGCTCACAGAGCTTCCATGCTAGTTCAGTTTCTTCTGACCAACTGCCTCTTCTTCTCGTAACATGTGAGCCCCTTGATACACAGCCCTTCCATCAGGCCCTCGATGTATGTGAAAGACAACTTGCCAGGACTAGGCTCCAACTCTGGTAAGCACTTCCCCCAGGAGCAGAGACGTTGGTGCCTGAGAAAGCTGGGCCACAGGAGCTCTTCCCCCATGGTTAGGATGTCCACAGGGAAGGCAGAGGGGGCAACTCATCCGTGTATGAGCAGACACCCTTCGTGAGCTGAGGGCTTGAGGACCCATGCCAAGCAAGCACAGGAGTCTTCTTCCACCTCCTACAGGTCCTGGTGAAGAGTAACAACCTGACAGACCGCATTGTGGTCATCCCTGGCAAGGTAGAAGAGGTCTCATTGCCTGAGCAAGTGGACATTATCATCTCAGAGCCCATGGGCTACATGCTCTTCAATGAACGCATGCTTGAGAGCTACCTCCATGCCAAAAAGTACCTGAAGCCCAGTGGTGAGTGTCCCATGCTCAGGAGTACTGAAGCTGTTGCTGAGCCTTTCAACCAGAGTAGTTGCCCCTGGGCAAGCCCCCCATAGAGTGGCTACTTGTCTGTTGTGTGTCAGTGATTTGCATGCGGAGGGTGGCGTTTTTTTCCTCTACCTCCTACCCTAACCTTACCCATTGGCTATGGCTTCTGGATGGATCCTCAGACCCCAAACAAGAGTGCCACTCACCCTACCAGGTATTGACAAGTCCCCTGAAGACCCACAGAGAGCATTTGATACCTCTTGTGCATCTTTGCCACAGAGGCACCCCTAATAAGATGAGATGGGGAGCCCAGGAGCAGGCTGGAACTCAGGTCTATCACTGTGGTCTCCCAAGGGCTGTTGACCCCCAAACTGGAAACCTTGCCTTCGGGACAATGTGGCCTGCCTGCTCCCCTAAGAGCTAGGAAGTGGGCAGGTGGAAATGTGTACATGCCTAAAGATGCAGGTGATATGTCTGTAATTACGTATGGGAATATATACAGGTGTGTGGATGACAGTGTACATATGTGTGTGGTATTCACATGAACATGTATACACAGGTTTATGAGTGTGTTCTTGTGTGAAGTCATTCTTGTGAAGGTGTGTGGATGGTAAGGGTCTATCGGTAGTGTAGATGTGTGTGTGCATATTTAGGGCCATGGGGTGTGTGATGGTTTATAGGTGTTTACATGTTAGAGTGTGAGGGTGGTAAACGTGTGTATGAAGGTGTGGGGTATCAGGGTAAGTGGGTAGGTAGGTGTGCGCTGAAGCTATGGTGTGTATGAAGGCATATGGGTGGGTGTACACCCGTGTGTAGATATATGTACTCTGTATTGGGATCTGTATTCTGCTCTAAGCACAGTAGTGCAGCCCATTTCTCTGGGTCCTGGGGCTGTGACTGTGTCTATTAAAGGCACAGGTGTGTATGTATTCGCAGGGGCTCAGGGACTCTGGTCTAGCAGTAGCCTCCGGTAGAGGTTAGCAACCAAGCAGATGCTGCTGGCAGCCTTGTGAATGTATGGCTCCCATGACTCCTCTGCGTAGGAGCCAACATTGGCTCAGTTCCTATAGGCAGGAGGTAGCCACAGTTCTCCCTGTGCGTTAAGTGGACTCAAGGCTGTCCGGGGTCTTCCTTTCCTCCCCTCTAGGCTTATTCATGGCTAAGTTTACATGTGGAAGAGGCTGCCCTGTGTGAACCCAGGCAGGAGTGAGGCTGGAGATTGCCTGTGAGGTGGTTTTCAACCCCTCAGAAGCCCCTTTGAGAATTAAAGGCAGCCTTCTGGCCTGCAGGAGCCTGCCATTGGCCACAGTTGAACATTCTAACCTAGTGTGAATTGTGAGGGACTTCTTCCTGAAGAGCTGGAGAGAGGCCCACACCCTGGAGGCCATGTGTTCGTCCTATGCAGTCTCAGCCTCCCATATCTGCGTCTCCCTGTGCCAGCCTAGCCCCATTTTTCCTATTAATGAGTCTCAGAAGATGACCCTCTATTTCTATTTCAGTCACATACCAAGCCTGATATTTGGGTAGCCCTGACTCAGTGATGTAGCTTAACCCCCAAACAGCCTAGGGTTTCCTTTCTCTCTATCTGGAGAAGTCCAGGTACATTGGACACCAAGAGGCTCTAATAGGCACCTTCTTTCTTCCCAGTGCTAGCATTGGAACATGGGATTAGGCCCATTCACTTTTTGGGATGGATGAGAGCCAGTGAGATGAGAACAAGTGTGCTGATGAGCATGGGAACTGGTAGTAGATAAAACTGATCCTAGTGCTGGTGGTGGTGGCGCACGCCTTTAGTCCCAGCACTCGGGAGGCAGAGGCAGGGGATCTCTGTGAGTTCGAGGCCAGCCTGGGCTACAAGAGCTAGTTCCAGGATAGCCTCCAAAGCCACAGAGAAACCCTGTCTCAAAAAAAACAAAAACAAACAAACAAACAAACAAAAAAACTGATCCAAGTGCCTTGGCTCTGCATGGGTAAAATTTTGAACTGATTTGTGGATCATGGTTGAAAATCAAAATGAACAAAGAAAAAAGCCTCTGAGCCAGGCAGTGGTGGCACACACCTTTAGTCCCAGCACTGGGGAGACAGAGGCAGGCAGATCTCTCTAAGTTTAGGGCCAGCCTGGTCTACAGAGCGAGTACCAGGATAGCCAGGACTACCTAGAGAGACCCTGTCTCAAAAACCAAAAAAAAGAAAAAAGAAAAAGGAAGGAAGAAAAGGGCCTCTTTCCTGTCAGAATTATGCTGCATCTGGTGACATCTGGGAGCCTGAGGCAGAAAGACCCCATCTCAAAAAGACAAGCTAGGATGATGGTGTATACCTGTAATTCCAACACTTAGGTCGAAGCTGAGTTGGGAGTTTAAGGCCTTCCTATGCTAAATGAGAGACTATCCTCCTTTCATCCCACCTCTTCCCCTGCCCCCCCAAAAAACCAAAGCAAAACCAGATTTACATCTGAGAGTTAAACTCAGGAGTCTCTGAGTTCCATCCGCAGCACCACAAAACAAAGCCGTAAGCCACTTCAGTTTTGATTCTAGCTGTGCTGCCATTCACACATTGCCAGAGGCCGTGGACATAAGGTGCTATACGCTGTCAGATGGAAGGATGGATGGATGGATGGATGGATGGGTGGATAGATGGATGGGTGGGTGGGTGGGTGGCTGGATGGGTAGATGGGAGGTTGGGTGGCTGGATAGATGGATGGGTGGGTGGGTGGGTGGATGGGTAGATGGGAGGTTGGGTGGATAGGTGGATGGATGGGTGGGTGGGTGGTTGGATGGGTAGATGGGAGGTTGGGTGGATAGGTGGATGGATGGATAGATGGATGGGTGGGTGGGTGGTTGGATGGGTAGATGGGAGGTTGGGTGGATGATGGATGGATGGATGGATGGATGGATGGATGGATGGATGGATGGATGGATGGATGGGTCGGATAGTCCATGATTGGGGATCTCAGGGTCCTCCGGAAGCTCTACCCAGCCTTACAGAATGTGCTGCCCTGACAACAGCACTCCTCCCTGCCCCCCACTCCCAGGAAACATGTTCCCCACCATTGGTGACGTCCACCTCGCACCCTTCACCGATGAACAGCTCTACATGGAGCAGTTCACCAAAGCCAACTTCTGGTGAGTGCGCCCTGGGTATCCGGCCAGGCCCTGGGGCCTGCCTGCTCGGGGATGGACCCAATCCTCGGGTGGGCTCTCGCCACTCCTCTTTTTTCTCCTCCTCCTCAGTAGGATATGAAGGACATGGGCTAGTTGAGGGCCAGCTAGGAAAGAAAGCAGGTGACTCCACCTGCCTCTCTTGCTGCTGTGACATCAGGGTGGGGCTGGGGATTTCCACAGGTACCAGCCATCCTTCCATGGAGTAGACCTGTCGGCCCTCCGAGGCGCTGCTGTGGATGAGTACTTCCGGCAACCTGTTGTGGTGAGTAGTGTGAGCAGGGCACTGCTGGACTGAGGTTAAGGCTTCCCCCAAGCTCTGGAATCTGGAACCCTGCTTCTCTTATCCCTCGCTCTCTGCAAAGCACGTGCATCAGCAGGATGACTGTGTAGCAAACTCATTTGATTGAATAATACATAAAGCCCTGACTCAGTAATCAATAGGCATGGGGTCAGAAGATCCAAGCTGGCCTGGGACCTTCTCATAAAAACAAGGTAAAAGGAACAGGGATAGAGACATGGCTAAGCTATTACAAACACCCACTGGTCTTGCAGAGATCCCAAGTTTGTTCCCAGCACTCAAGTGAGCATACACAGAGAGAGGCAGAGGGTTCAACTCCCAGCACCCGCATGGAAGCTTACACCCATCCGTAATGGGGCACCAGAGACTATAGTGAACAAACTTAGGGCCAGATAAAACACTCATACACATAAAATAACTAAATTATATTTTTTTACATGGGTAGGTGTTTTGCCTACATTTATGTCTGTGTGCTACATGTGTGCAGTGCCCGAAGAGGATCTATTAAAAATAAAACTTCTAAAAAACATTAGATGAGTAAATGTTTCTCCAAAAAATTTTTAAATAATTGAATTTTATTTTATTTATTTGAAACAGACTCTCAGTGTGTACACTGACTGGCCTGGAATTTAGCTCTGCCTGAATCAAGAAAAAAAGTCTTTAAGCAGGGCAGTGGTGGTACACACCTTTAATCCCAGCACTAGGAGGCAGAGACTGGCAGATCTCTATGAGTTTGAGGCCAGCCTGGTCTACAGAGTAAATTCCAGGACAGCCAAAGCAACACAAAGAAACTGTGTCTCAAAAAATCCAAAAAAAAAAAAGGGAGGGGGTGGGGTGGGGGTCTTTAACACTCAAAGTGTGCTTGTAGATGCATTTTTTAAAAACTGTTCCTCAAAATACAGCATCTCTCTGTCATCAGAGAACACGCACAGAATGCTATCACCCCTTGGACAGTTGAGACTTGCTCAAAGTCTGGTGTGCAGTGCTTGGCTAACGCTTTGTGTCTTCTCGGAAGAAATGGGTATTGACAGGGTGTGGTGGCACGCACACCCTTAGTCCCAGCGCTTGGGAGGGAGAGGCAGGCTGATCTCTGTGAGTTCAAGGCCAGGCTGGACTGACAGCCTCCAAAATAATACAGAGAAACCCTGTCTCGTAAGACCAAAAAAAAAAATATTTATTTATTATGTATATGTTCTGCCTGCAAGCCAGAAGAGGGCACCAGATCTCATTACTGATGGTTGTGAACCACCGTGTTCTTCCAGAGGTTCAGAGTTCAATTCCCAGCAACCACATGGTGGCTTACAACCATCTGTAATGAGATCTGGTGCCCGTTTCTCACGTGCAGATAGAAGAGCACTCATATACATAAAAATAAATTTTAAAAAAGTGCCAGGGTGTTCTGGAGAAATTACTCAGCGATTAAGAGCACTGGCTTCTCTTCGAGAGGTCCCAGGTTCAATTCCTAGCACCCACATGGCAGCTCACAGCTGTCTATAACTCTATTCCAGGGAATCTGACACCTTCACCCAGACATGCATGTAGGTGAAATATCAATGTAAATAAAATACAAATAATTTATTTTAAGTGCTGGTGCTGTGAGGTGTCTGGGTTTCGTTACTTTTTGTTTTTTGAGACAGGGTTTCTCTGTGTAGTCTTGGCTGTCCTGGAACTCACTCTGAGACCAGGCTGGCCTTGAACTCAGAGATCACCTTCTTTTGTTTCACAAGTGCTGGGATTAAAGGTGCATACCATCCACCTTTGATTTTAAGACGGGGTCTCACTATGTAGCTCTGACTGGCTCAGAACTCACAATGTAGACCAGGCTGACTATGAACTTGAAGAGATCATCTGCATTTATTAATATTTTGAGAGGCGTAGCCTAATTGCTGTCCCTGATGTCATGCCTAGCCAGTTGGGAAGGACAAGCTGGTTAGTGCCATGGCCAGGCCTGCGGAATGGGGGAGGCATTGAGGCTCTCCCCTTCTTCCATGGCATTTGCACCCCAAGCTGGCTCACACCTGTCATCTTTTAGGACACATTTGACATCCGGATCCTGATGGCCAAATCTGTCAAGTACACAGTGAACTTCTTAGAAGCCAAAGAAGGCGATTTGCACAGGTACCCTTTATCGACAGCCACCGCTACCCGCCCCCCAGCCACTATACCCCGCCCCTGCACTTCTCAAACATGTACCCATCACCCATGGGGCACTGGTGGCCAGCTGCTGTCCTCCCAGCTACCCTCCCATTCTTCTAAAGTAAGCCCATGTCCTTTGCCTTGCAGGATAGAAATCCCATTCAAATTCCACATGCTGCATTCAGGGCTGGTCCATGGCTTGGCGTTCTGGTTTGATGTTGCTTTTATTGGCTCCATGTAAGTATGGGACTGCTGGGGCTCTTTGCAGCTTTGGCCTCGAGGCCTGGCTGCGTAATAACTCCTCCAATGGTTCTTCCTATCCAGAGCCCAGGGAGAATCATGGGGTGGGGCTGGGGTTGTTTTTTCTCAGCAGCTATCTGAGTTCCTGTCCTCAGGTGTCTTATGTATAGGTGTCAGGGTGGATGGGCCTCCCTGGAGTCCAGCCAGTCTTGGCCTCTGAGACCCCAGGGACATTCAGGAAGAGACCTTGGGTGATATCAAGGTGTGTGGGGTGATGGCACAAGTGGTGGTGCCAACCCAGTGAAGTACACCCATTCTTCTTGACAGAATGACTGTGTGGCTATCCACAGCCCCAACGGAGCCTCTGACCCACTGGTACCAGGTCCGGTGCCTCTTCCAGTCACCGTTATTTGCCAAGGCTGGGGACACGCTTTCAGGGACATGTCTGCTTATTGCCAACAAAAGGTGCACCTTGACACTCATGCAGGGCTGGATAGGGCAGCGGCACAGGGGACCACCAGCCCAGTTGCCTCACAGCCACATCTCTATCCCCCAGACAGAGCTACGACATCAGTATTGTGGCCCAGGTGGACCAGACAGGCTCCAAATCCAGTAACCTGCTGGACCTGAAGAACCCCTTTTTCAGGTAGCAGGGTTCTAAGGGAGGGGGGACAACCCGGAGGCCCACAGCCCTGCCCACAGTGAATCTCTGCCATAGGTACACGGGCACTACTCCTTCTCCTCCACCTGGCTCTCACTACACATCTCCCTCCGAGAACATGTGGAACACGGGAAGTACCTACAATCTCAGCAGCGGGGTGGCTGTGGCTGGTGAGTCTGAATGCTATTCCCAGACATGGCTAGAGGCCCATGGTGGCAGCCTGAACCCCAGATCCCCAGGAGCCGCCTTGCCCCGCCCTGACACTCCACTTTCTGGTCAGGAATGCCTGCTGCCTATGACCTGAGCAGTGTTATTGCGGGCGGCTCTAGCGTGGGTCACAACAACCTGATCCCCTTAGGTGAGTATCCCCTAAGGTCTATGGGGTGGCAGGGGAGGACTGGGATGTGCCAGTGGCCAGTTAAATAGCCAGTGCTGGGTCCTCTGCCACCACTGTCGCTGTCGTGGGCACCTCTTCCTCTTCTGTGTGCCTCCCTACCTTGACCTGTCACCACTCCATCTGCCCTTCCCACAACAACCCTAAGAGGGGGTGGGGCCAGGCAGGCTGGGGGCGGTGACGTCTCCCTCCCTCCTTCTTTCCTCCCTGTCGCTGCGCAGCCAACACAGGGATTGTCAATCACACCCACTCCCGGATGGGCTCCATAATGAGCACGGGCATTGTCCAAGGTAACAGGGTAGCGGGGCCGTGGGCGGGGGGCCTCCCGCCTGGCCTGCGCACACGCTCAAGCTACCAGTCGGGGCCAGGCAGGCTTAGGGGTCATGCTGGCTCCTCAGTGCCCGTGACCTGCCCCACAGGCTCCTCAGGTGCCCAAGGAGGCAGCGGTGGCTCCAGTGCCCACTATGCAGTCAACAACCAGTTCACCATGGGTGGCCCTGCCATCTCCATGGCCTCACCCATGTCCATCCCAACCAACACCATGCACTACGGGAGCTAGGTGCCTCCAGCGGCAACACCACTGCGCACTGACAGCACCAGGAAACCAAATGAAGTCCACGCCCAGTGCAGCTGGTGGCTGTCCCCCTTGTTCTGGAGAAGCGTGAACACCCGGTCACAGCCCTCTTTGCTATGGGAACTTGGACACTTTTGTACACAATGTCGCCGCTGCCCTCAAGTATCCCCCAGCCCACCCTTTGGCCCTGAGCGCGTGTCGCTGCCATATTTTACATGAGATCCTGTCGGGGCAGCCCTCATCCTGTTCTGCCCTCTCCACACTGACCTGGCTTTGACATCTGCTGGAAGAGGCAAGCCCCCTCCCAACCCACCCCACTCTTACAGCTGCGCCTGACCAAGCAGGAGGAGGCCAGCAGCTGCCACCACAAGACCTGGCAGCACCTGTCCCCTAACCCGTCCTTGCACTTGCCCCTCACCTGGGGTGGCAGCACAGCCAGCTGGACCTCTCAACTACCAGGCCACATGGTCGCCATGGGCGTGACATGCTGCTTTTTTTAATTTTATTTTTTTACGAAAAGAACCAGTGTCAACTCACAGACCCTCTGAGAAACCCGGCTGGCCGGGCCCAGCCAGCAGCCCCTGTCCCTAGGCCCAGAGGTTCTAGGTGAGGGGTGGCCCTGTCAAGCCTTCAGGGCGGGCGTAACCCCCTCTCACCAAAGGGTTCACCTCACACTTGAATGTACAAAACTCCCAGCTGTCCAAAGGCCTCTAGACCCTGCTTCCTGCTACAGTCCTGTCCTGAGCCCTGAAGGTCCCCCTCCACCAAAAGCTGGAACGGGCAGCCCAGAGGGAGAGTCACCTAGGGCCAGTGGGGCAGACAAAAACCTCAAGGATCTGTCACGGAAGGAAGGAGGGCATCCTCTCCCTGATAGCTAACATAGGCCTGTGTGTGCACTCCACATCCATGCTCTACTTCCTCCTCTCAAGACAGCACCCCTGCAAAGGGGCCTGGCAGGAACTCTCCCTCCAGACACAAGAAGAGGAAAAGCAAACAAGGAAGGGAGGGCAGCTTCTCCCCTGCTCCTTTGCCCTAGAGTCCCCACCTCAGTGGCCAGAGCCCAGGCTGGGCCCATGCCCACCACAGGTACTCCTGGCAATGGCTGGACCTGCCTCTGCCACCCCTGGCCTGTAAGGAAACACAGGCCCACAGGCAGGCTGGGAAACCAGGCTCTTCTGTCCATCATAATATTTCCTGCTCGGCTGCCCCTCCCCACCTTTATATAAATTCTCTGGATCACCTTTGCATAGAAAATAAAAGTGTTTGCTTTGTAAGAAAAGCCTGCAAAGTAGCAGGGTGGTCTCCAGGGTCCAAGACTCCTCTAATCTTCACAGGGAGGGCAGGACAGGTCGTAGCCCCTTGGGTTTGGCCTGAAAAAGAGAGACTGTTGGGTGTGGCCCCAGGAGGAAGAAGGTGAACCCTTGGCCACAACAGAGACTGTCCCTCACCTGCAGGCCTGGCCTTCCTACAAGGTTGTCATGGACCGGGCTGAGGTGGGCGGCAGGATGCTGGGAGACAGAGGTGTGGCTTGGGGTGCTGGTATCACATGTTCCAGAGGCAGTGGCTGGAAGAAGTATAGCTGCAGAGAGATCTCAGGGTGAATGTGCAGTTGGGGAGCAGCAAGCTCCACTCCGTAGCCCTGCTGAGGACCAGCTGGACCCTACCTTACAACCTAGCGCCAAGAGGGCGTGAAGCAGCACCACAATGGACAGCAGTGCTGCAGCCACCAGCCTTGTGTCCTCTCGAACCACAGGCCACAGGGTGAACACCAGCCCAGCAGCTGACAGGGCCAAGGCCAGTGCTCCAAAGAGCCACTGCAGCCACTCCACTGGGATCAGCCACAGGATCTAGTGTGACAAGTGTAACTGGTGATCACACAGGGTGGGCCATGCAGCTTCCCACCAGTCCCCGGGGCCAAGCCACACTCACCACAGTGGGGACGAAGACAGAAAGTGAGTAGCCGTAGACACAAACCGTCTCCAGGAAGGTGTACAGCTCCATGTGCTCCCTTGTGCCCTGACGCCACCGAAGGAAGCCCCACAGTGCCAGTGGCACTAGCCACGCATAGCAGTAGATGGTGATGCCTGCTACAGTCACTAGGAATGCAACGTGGGCAGTTAACTGCATGCCCTGGGGCCCTTGCAGCCAGGAGCTGAGTCCACCCATCCGCTTACCCTTGTGGAACTGGGGGCTGTAGTGGATGGAGGAGTCTCGCCTCTGTGCAAGCACCAAAGTGAGATTGCCAGTAACCGCCAGGACAAAGGCCAATGTAGCACAGATCCAAAAGGGGCCTGCAAAGGGGGACATGGAGTCCCTGGTCCATCACGCCTAAGAAAGGTAGCTATATCCACTTGACTCTCCAGATCACTGATAAGAGCTGCCTCTGGGCTCATCCTGTCTTTCTGGAAATAACTTCCAACATCCCTCAGGCACTTGGCTTGTTGGTTTTTGGTTTTCAGATAGGGTTTCTCTGTGTAACAGTCCTGGATGTCTTGGAACTCGCTTTGTAGGCCAGGCTGGCCTCAAAGTCACTGAAATCCACCTGTTTCTGCCTCTGCCTCCCAAGTGCTGGGACTAAAGGTGTGTTCTATCACCACCCCGCAGCATCTGAGAAAGTTCTTTTTATAGGTAGAATAGGCTTGGTGCTTTTCCACTGTGGGCAGGATGCTGTCCATACCTAAGGCTTCATGAATGCCACCTTTAGCTGTCCATTCCGAAGTTGCTCCATGGCCCTGAACTGCATGCTTACATTTGAACTTCACATGGGTATCCTAGCCCCTATGCCCTTGATCTGCTCCTCATACCTGCCCAGATGTTCCTCTTGGTGGACTGGGTAGAAGGTCCCCTGGCCTTTCCTACTCGGCTTTGGGGCATACTCTAGTGCCAACCACTGATTTACAGCCTCCACTGTAATGTTTGTCTCCTGCCTGCCCTTGCTGCTACCATTAACTTTGACAGTGCCTGAGAAGATCTTTCTAAAAATATCACACCAAGATCCTTTTTGCCACATTATGGGACCATGACCTTCCAGGTGTGCCTTCCACTTCCGTGGCCTATGCCACCATGCAACTTGGCTTTACTTCCACCATGGGGCCCAGGAACTTCTGGGTCCTCTTCTAAGCCTCTCTCCACCAATGCCAACAAAACTCATTTGCCTACCCAACTCAGAGGACTTCCTAACTTATCTGTACCAGACAATGACGCCACTCATCCTCTATGTGAGCCCTGCCGACCATCTTCTGCTTCCCATCCTAGTGTCTCCCTCAACTAGTCACAGATTTTCTTCATGACTGACTGCCCTGCTCAGCGCCTGGCACAGTCTCAAATATGTTGAGTCAAACACACAGCTTCATTTACCATATAGGTCAGGCCGATTTCGAAGATGGTGGCGCACAAAGTTGTAGCCAGGGTGGGGCAGCAGTGAGCCTTTGATCCGGTCCAAGACCTGAAGAGCAAAACCAGGGTCCAGAATGAAAATCCTTGCATTCTGGGAGGCATCACCCCTGTAGATTTCTATCTGGCCACTACATCCTAACTGAAACAAGCCCAGCTGTCCCCCCCAGGCTGTTCACTGGGTGTCTCGATGGCGTGTGGTCTTGACCCTACTTCCTGCTCAACATGTCACCACTCTGAAGGTAGGCTTTTGGGACTGCCGCGTTTCTCTCTTTTTTAAAAGTTTTCTAATGTACATTGGTGTTTTGCCATGCATGTCAGGATGGGAGCTGCAGTTACAGTTGTGAGCCACCGTGTGGGTGCTGGACACTGAACCCGGGTTCTCTGGAAGAGCAGTCAGTGCTCTTAATCTCTGAGCCATCTTGCAGCCCCTCCCCCCTCTCCCCTTGTCTCCTCCCACAGTGAGGACAGTCCTGGGTGTCCTCCCTCCTCTGTCTCCAGGATGTGCCCTCTCAGTAGAGGGTTCATTAACAGAGGCTGCCCTGTGCTCCACATTCTTATCTGCATATTCTACTCATTCTCTCTGGCTCTAAAGTCTTCCATAACTCCCCATCACCTCAGGCCAAGACCCAAACCTTAGCTACACAGGATGCTGAGACAAGAGACTGGGAAACATACCAAGACACTTTAAGATATACCTACCCACTGGACAGTGGTGTTGAATGCCTTTGAGAGGCAGAGGCAGGCAGATCTCTGTGAGTTCAAGACCAGCCTGGTCTACAGAGTGAGTTCCAGGACAGCCTCCAAAACAATACAGAGAAACCCTGTCTCAGAAAAAAAAACAACCACCTACCTTGTAACCTACCTTGCCTTCCAGCCCTTCTGCACACACAGTCCACACAAATTCAGGGCCCCAAATATAGTGATTGAACCCCAAGAAGCTTCAAGCCCTTGCCACCAATGTTCCAGGCCTCACCTGGGAGGTGTCCACATCAAAGAAGCTTTGATAGTAGTCAAACGTCCAGAATCTCGGCTGTGGCTTTTCTTCCTGTAGAAGCTACAAGACACAAACTTCCAGAATCTGCCTGCTCAAGCAGCTACGGAAAATGCGTGGTGTGAGCCTCGGAGACTCACCGCTGTTTTGTCTCCCTCATCCTCCACTTCTGGGGCTCCATAGCCTGATCCCACGGCCACAGCCACGTGCTCCCGAGAGGTCAGGGCATCACGTTGGCTAGTGGTGGCTGCATCTGGAGTCTCTGCCAGCAGAGTTGTGGCTTCTTCGAACTCTACAGTCAGGGAATATGGGCACAGGTATTTGGATTCTGGAAAATTCCTTGACCATCAACCCCCGTTGTGGTTGCCTCACTACCCTCCCCTAAGTACTGAGTTTCTTCAGTTTTGACGCAGGAAGACTGTTCCCCTAAGATGGGGTTCAGTTTAGGTCCTTGGCAGACTTGGAGGCTCGGATGTGCCTCTGAGTTTATAGTGGGAGCGGGGATTGAGCACAAGATGAACCCCAGGTTCATCCGGGGATCTAGGCCCCGGCTGCCTGGGGTTCTACCCTAGGACAGGAGTAGGAAATCAGACCACTTCCCGGCCCCACTCACCATGGAAGGCCAGTACGTCAGCCGCTGCCATGATTCTTTGAGGCGTCACCGCTTTGCGCTCTGTGGACAGAAATGCATCCGTGCCACAGCCCTCCCCAGGACTGATGCTTCCGCCTACAGCCCTGCCTGGAGCCTCAGCGAGATCAACTCCTCGCCAGGGCCCCGCAGGTGCACCCCGCCCTCCTCACCTGAGGCTACCTAAGCTGGCGTGGCCCATGCTCCGTGCGCGTGCGTGCGTGCGGCCAGCCTACCCGTCAGAGCCCACCCTTCACGCAACGGCAACATCCGGCGCCAGTCCCGCTCTTGGGTTGAGAAACTACTTCCGGCATCTTGCACTTGCGCAGCAGCCACTCTGCGCTCCAGTTCATTCCGACGCTATGCTTTTCCGCTGGCCAACGGAACGCAGGGAAAGGATGGCGGCAGCCGCTCTGAAGAGATTCTGGTCTGGTGGACGCAGTGAAGCGGGAGGAGAGGCGAGTGGTGCCGCGACGGTGGTGGCAAAGCCGGGAGTGTGGGCGCGGCTGGGTGAGTAGTGGCAGAAGGCGGCAGGGTGGGCGGCCCGAGTGGCTGGATCACTGTCACCACGGCGCTCTTTCCTCCAGGCACCTGGACCCGCGCGCTGCTTCGGGATTACGCCGAGGCGTGCAGAGACGCGGCAGCTGCGGCTCGTGCCCGGCCAGGGCGCGCGGCTGTGTACGTGGGGCTGCTGGGCGGCGCGGCGGCGTGCTGCGCCCTGGCCCCCAGCGAAGCGACCTTCGAGGAGGCCTTGCTCGATGCGTCAGGGTCCCTCTTGCTACTGGCGCCGGCCACGCGCAACCGTCACTCGGAAGCGTTCTTGCAGCGCCTGCTGTGGCTGAGAGGCCGCGGGCGGCTGCGCCACGTGAACTTGGGTTTCTGCTCGCTGGTGTATGAGGCGCCTTTCGATGCCCAGGCCAGCCTCTACCAGGCCCGCTGCCGCTACCTGCAGCCACGTTGGATCGACTTCCCCGGTCGGGTCCTCGACGTGGGGTTCGTGGGCCGTTGGTGGATCTTGGAGAACCGCATGCGTGATTGCGACATCAACGACGACGAGTTTCTCCACCTGCCTGCGCACCTCCGTGTGGTCGGACCCCACCAGCTGCATTCTGAGGCCAACGAGAGGCTGTTCGAGGAGAAGTACAAGCCGGTTGTGCTCACTGATGACCAGGTGGACCAGGCGCTGTGGGAAGAGCAGGTGTTGCAGAAGGAGAAAAAGGATAGACTGGCGCTGAGCGAGGCCGATTCACTGGTGCAGTCCGCGGTTTCCACATGAAACCCAAGGAAACCCGGGTCTCTAGGTTCAGGCCACGGATGGTGCAGTGGATGAGATGGATGGAGGTAAACTTCTCACAGTGTGGTTTTGTGGGAGGCCCTTCTCACGCCGTCTGTTTGATTAGCTGACGCTAATTGAAAGCCTTGCTGGTCTTGGAGATGAAGAGCTGAAGCATTTGACCGTGTTACATTTATAACCACCAGAACTGCTAGTAAGGAGCCTGTTGTCGCTGAGGATGTATGTCAGTGGTTAGAGCACTTGCCTAGTAACGCCTGTGGAACAGAACAAAAACGAACTTTTTGTTTTTGGGTTTATTTGGTTGGGTTTTGAGACTAGCACTCCCAAAGAACCAGGATTGGCCCTGAATCCTCCTGCCTCAGCTCCAGTTACGAAGAGGTCCAGTGACTCCCAAGACCCTAAGACCATTCACATTCTTTTTAGAGTGTTTGTGTGAGTTTTTAAGGAAGATCTGGCAGTGTTGCCCAGTCTAGTATAGAATTCGTGGGCGAAAGTGATCCTTCCGGGAGCTGGACAACTCAGTATATAAGAGTACTGACTGCTCTTGCAGAGAACCTGGATTCAATTCTCAGAGTACATTTAGGGACTCACAATCATCTGTAACTCCAATTCTGGGAATCGGACCTCTTTAGATTCCTCAGGTATTAGACAAGCACGTGCTGTACAGACACACATGCTGACAAAATGCCCATGCACATAACATTTAATAAACCATAATCATGTGCCACCATGCCTGACCTTAGGTTTTTTCTTTTCCAGTTGGTGCTTGTTTGGGTTTTTTCTTTGTTGTGGGTTTTGGTTTGGTTTATTTTGAGACAGGGTCTAGAACTGGCAATGAAGAACAGTCTGGCCTTCAATCTATCTGCCTCTGAAATTTTATTTATTCCGGTTTGATTCTGAGCTGTGGTTTCACAGCCCAGCCCAGCCTCTAAGTCACTATGTAGCAAAGGATGACTGGATGATCCTTTTGCCTGCACTTCCCAGATGGAGGGAGAAATTTTTCTGTTGTATGGTTTATTATTGTTGAGTACATTTGTTTTGTGCTAGGCATTAAACACAGGGTCTTGTACAAATTGGGCAAGCACTGTATCTCCCAAGTCTTTTTTTTTTTTTTTCTTTTAAGATATTCATCATGAGACAGGCAGTGGTGGCCCACGCCTTTAATCCCAGCACTAGGGAGGCAGAGGCAGGCGGTTCTCTGTGAGTTCGAGGCCGGGCTGGACGACAGCCTCCAAAACAATACAGAGAAACCCTGTCTCATAAAAAAAAAAAAAAAAAAGATATTCATCATGTATACATTTTGTGTGTGTGTGTGGTGTTTTTGGTTTTTTGAAACAGGGTTGCTCTGTATTGTTTTGGAGGCTGTCCTCGAACTCGCTCGGTAGACCAAGCTGGCCTCAAACTCACAGAGATCCGCCTGCCTCTGGCTCCGGAGTGCTGGGATTAAAGGCGTGTGCCACCAATACCCGACATGTATACAGTTTTCTATCTGCATGCTTGCCTGCATGCCAGAAAGCATCAGATCTCATTACAGATGGTTGTGAGCCACCATGTGGTTGCTGGGAGTTGAACTCAGGACCTCTGAAAGAACAGCCAGTGCTCAAAACCTCTGAGCCATCTCTCCAGCCCATCCCCCAGTCTTCTTGGGTTTTTTGTTTTGTTTTGATAGTTTCTATTTAGTCCTTGAGGCCTTGACCTAGTTTCTCTTATTTAGTAACATTGTATAATACTGTCAGTGTGGGAGATAGATATGGAGATGAACAGATTTTACTGTTCTGTGTATGGCAGGGATTGGAAGATTAGAGGAAGGCTGGAATGTGTTCTGATCCCAAAGCCTACATGCGGTCATTTGTCATTACACTGCAACTGGAAACAGCTCTGTGGAAAGGAACAAGGTGGGGCACAGAGGTAGATCTGGCAAGGTTCAAGCTAAAATGTTAGAAAAGCAAGACTACCAATTACCAATGTCAGATGACCTGTGGCTAGTCAATTAAGCCAGAGGACCAAGCAGTCACCTTTGTCATGGTCTGTGTGTGGTCCCAGGACTGAGATCTGCTGCACACTGAGCTACCCCAGTCCTGGTGGTGTGTGTGTTTCTCCATCTTTCATTATCAGATGTACTGAAAGTGTGGTAGTTCTTTTTGTTTGGTTGGGTTTTGTTTGGTTTTTCAAGACAGGGTTTCTCTGTGGAGATCTGGCTGTCCTGGAACTCAAGAAATCCCCATCAGCCAGGCAGTAGTGGTGCACACCTTTAATCCCAGCACTCGGGAGACAGAGGCAGTTGAATCTGTGAGTCTGAGGCCAGCCTGATCTACAGAGTGAGTTCCAAAACAATACAGAGAAACCCTGTCTCAAAAAACAAAACAAATGAAAAGTGGAAGGTCATTGGGCATTGGTGGGGCACATCTTTAATCCCAGCACTCAGGAGGCAGAGGCAGGTGGATCTCTGTGAATTTGAGGCCAGCCTGTTCTACAGAGGGAGTTCCAGGACAGCCAGGAGAAATGCTGTCTGTAAAACAACCAAAAAAGAGAAGAATCAAGGAGAGGAAACAGAGAAAAACATGTATAAGGAGAGAACTGGCTCCACAGAGTGACCTTGGACCTCACCCAGACCATGGTATGTCTGAGCGGGCTGTTTGAAGACTTCTTTTTATTTTGTGTGTATGGGTTTTGGCCTGTGTGTGTCTGTGAACCATTCATGTTGGAGGCCAGAAGATGACATCCTAGATCCCCTGAAACTGGAGTAGGTAGTTGTGAACCCACTTGCCATCTCTCCAACCCCAAATAATTGTTATTTTACGGCTGGCAAAGTGGAACCACTGCTTTTGCTTGCAATTTGATTTATAGGAGATGAGGCATACATGTCCTAAAGATGCTTTTTCAATCCGGGCTTGGTGAAGCATCCCTGTAACCCCAGCACTGAGAAGACAAAGGCAGGAGGATTAATGCAAGTTTGAGCCTGCCCTGGACTGTCTACTGCAACATAACAAGACCCTGCCTAACAAAGTCAAACTGGGGCCCAGAGCTGGCTGTGCTGGCAGGGTGATCAACTACCAGGTAAGATGCTTCGGCTTTGCTACAGAGATGGTTCAGGTGGGTAAAGTCACCAGCTGATGAGCTGAGGAGTGAAGTTCAACCCCTGGGACACATGGTGGACGGAGAAGACTGATTCTGCAAGGTTTTTATCTGGCTGCCATGTATGGACTGGGAACTAGGGGATAGCTCAGTTAGTGAAATGCTTTCCAAACAAGCGTGAGGGTCTGAGCTTGGATCCTTAGCACATATGTAAACACTTTGTGTAAAAGCTGGGCATGCATGTATGATTGGCAAACCTGCCATATTACATGGACCTCTGACACATGCTCATACACACTCTTTTTTGTTTTGTTTTCGAAACAGGGTTTCTCTGTGTAGCCCTAGCTATCCTAAAACTCACTGTCTACACTAGTCAAGCCTCGAACTCACAGAGATCTGCCTGCCTCTGCCTCCTGAGTGCAAGGATTAAAGGTGTGCGCCAACTGCCCAACTTGCTTACCGTCCAGTTCTCTCATCTATGAGTATGAATTTCTATGTATAGATGTGCACACAGAGACAAGGTAAACCTTGAACACCCTCCTGGATCTACCCCAGCTTTATTATTATTATTTTTGTTTTGTTTTGAGCTTCAGTCCTTAGCACACATGTAAACACTCTGTGTAAAAGCTGGACTTTTTCTGTGTACCTGGTCCTGGCTGTCCTGGAACTCTCTTTGTAGACCAGGCTGGCCTCAAACTCAGAGATCCACCTACCTCTGCCTCCTGAGAGCTGGGATTAAAAGTGTACCCCACCAATACCTGGGTTCTGAATTGTTTTTTGAGGAAGGAGTTTCTCATTGCCTTAAAATTGGACTTAGAGGTGGTTGTGAGCTGCCCAACATGGGTGCCGAGAAAAATTTTGGGTCATTTGCAACAAGAGCAGCAAGTGTTCTTTTATTTTTTTTAAATAATTTATTTAACTTTATTTTATGTGCATTGATGTGAGATCTCCTGGAACTGGAGTTATAGATGGTTGTGAGCTGCCATGTGGGCGCTGGGAATTAAACTCAGGGCCTCTGGAAGAGCAGCCAGTGCTTTTAACCACACAGCCACCTGGGCAGCCCCGCAGCAAGTGTTCTTAACTGCTAATCCAGTTCTCCAGCCCCTTAGCTAACAATTCTAAGGTGGACAAAGTTGAAAGATGTATGTCAAAAGATGTTCACTACAATTTTATTAATAAATATTTTAAATTATAGATTATATGTATGTGTGTGTATGCCATGCCCAGAAGAGGACATCAGATCCCCTGGAGTTACAGTTAAAGATAGCTGTGAGCCACCTATGTGAGTGCTGGGAATGGAATTCAGGCCCTCAACAATAGCAGCACACACTCAAATATAAAGCTGTCCTTCCAGCCCACTGGGATTCCCTATGGGAAAAGCCAAAGGGCTGAGGAAGATGGCAGTTTGGGTAAAGGTCCTGCCACATATGCGAGGGGACCTTCGCTCAATGCCCAGCACCCAGGCAAGCAAACAGGTGCAGCAGTGTGTGTGGTGACCCACCACTCGGTAGGCCGGGACAGGCAGATTACTTCAGGTTTCTGGCTGGCTGGGCATGGTGGGGCACACCTCAGCACTTTCCATGCTAAGGCAGGAAGATAAAGACTTGATGTTTGACCCTGTCTCAAAACAAAATAAGAAACAAAAAAATAGGATAAAATGTATAGCATCAAGGGAATTCCGTATCGCTCCTCCTTGTCCTCCCTGGGTTCTGTGATCTGCTTCCCCAGATATACCCAGCTGCACAGCTGTCTTGCTTGTCAGATGGAAGGTTTCATACACAGTGGCCTGGGTACTGGATGGTTCTATGTCAACTTAATACAGGCTAAAGTCATCTGAGAGGAGGAGCCTCAGCTGAGAAAATGTCTCCATTCTCCATAAGACAGAACTGTACAAAAAAAACAAAACAGGCCTGTCAGGGGTGGCAAACACCTTTGATCCCAGGTTGAGGACTCGAGACCAGCCTGGTCTACAGAGTAAATTCCAGGACAGCAAGGCTACACAGAGAAACCCTGTCTCAGAAAAGAAAAGACAGAACTACAGGTAGGTCTGTAGTGCATTTTCTTAATTATTGATGGGGAGGGCTCAGCCCATTGTGGGTGGTGTCATCCCTGGACTGGTGGTCCTGGGTTCGAGAAGAAAGCAGGCTGAGAAAGCCTGAAAGCAACGTCCCTTCATGGCTTCTGTATCAGCTCCTGCCTCCAGGATCCCACCCTGTTTTGAGTTCCTGCCCTGGCTTCCTTCAGTGATGGACTACCGTGTGGAAAAGTAAACCAAATAAACTATTTCCTCACAACTTGCTTTTGGTCACGGTATTTCAATGACATGATAGCAATCCTAGCTAAGACACCTGGTTTACTCAAACCTTCAAAATGTCTCCAGAGCACAAGGAGATGAAGCTGAACTAAGTATAATGGCACACAAGCCTGGAACCCAGCACTCAGGAGGCTGTGAGAAGACAATCTGGAGTTCGTCTCCCTGAGAATCGGGAGAGCATTTGTTTTTTTGGGAGTGGGGTTGACACGGGGTTTCTCTGTGGCTTTGGAGGCTGTCCTGGAACTCACTCTGTAGACCAAGCTGGTCTCAGACTCACACAGATCCGCCTGCCTCTGCCTCCCAAGTGCTGGGATTAACGGCGTGCGCCACCACCGCCTGGC